TGTAATTGCACCCAAATTTTATAATTTTGCCGTTTGCGAGAGGAAATAAAAGAAGAGGAAAAATTTTATATTTTGCCGTTTGCTAGAGGAAATAAAAGAAGAGGAACGGGAACAGAGTATGAAAGGAGTTACGGGGTGGGAGGAAAAATTAATAAACTATATTAGTGATTATGTTCTATATACTAGGGGCCCACAAAAAAAGTTAAACACAACTAAATTATATTATATATGTCGAGCTCGATTCCGGATTAGTCGGTTCCCCTGTGAATCCGAAAACCGGAAGGTCCATGTACCCAAAAAAAATATATATATTATATATGTATATAATAAAAATCCTCACACCACAGGGCCATGTGCCCCTGCGGGCCTCTATGTGGGTCCGCCCTGGGTAAAAACTCATATTTCTCGAGTCTAACATATCTTAAAATGAATTTGGGCTTCAAGTCATTTGGTTGATTTCAAAACTTAACGAGTCGAGTCGAGCCTAGTCCAAAAGCAACTCTATTTGTTGTAACCGCCCTTCCTGAAACTTAATGGTTAATACATTACAAACTAAGGAATGTTCAATTAAAAAAATATTTTTTTATGAAACCAATTTAATTAATAATTGACCCAACGCTTCCTTCTTGATGTAACACATTTCTAGCCTGATCAGGCTCTATAGTGCATTTGGTGCAGATTCAAAACATGCAAGTGATTTAGTTATGAAGTCTGATTTATATTTATATTCAATTAAATTAAATCCACAGCCACAGGCACCAACTATTTGTTATGTTTTTCCTCATGTTGCTTAGCTGAAAATGGAATTTTTTTTCAAGATAAATCAAAGATGGCTATTAAATAAATAAATAAATACATAAAAATTGGTGTCTTAATCTATAATATAGTACCAAAAAAATAAAAGTGTCTAAATTCTTACATAACAACTCTCTATTAACTAACAGAAAGTGGTTCAAGCTCACCAAATATGTCAAGCAATGGAGACTATAAATATTTTACAAACTCTCTGTTCAAATCCTCCATCAATCAAATTTAAGGTATATAACTATATATCATCAGGCAAAAAGAGTAAACATTTATAATACACTATGGCAGCCATCATTCTTTCCTTAGTCATTTTCTCAATTATTTCGAGTTCCTCGATTGCACTGAGTACAAATTACTACGACCAAACGTGTCCTAAGGCCGAATCGTTAATCACAGAAGCCGTGCGCAAAGGCATGAAAAACGACAAAACCGTCCCGGCAGCTCTACTCAGAATGCACTTCCATGACTGCTTCATCAGGGTATACAAACAAATTATAATTTTTTTTTTTTTTTGGGTAATATAAGACTATGATTTTTATAATATTCTTGTCAAATTGGAGTATTTATTTTTATTTTATTTTATTTTATTATTGAATTATTTTGTTAAAGGGATGTGATGCCTCTGTGCTTTTGGACACCAAAGGGAAAAATAAAGCAGAAAAAGATGGGCCACCAAACATTTCATTGCATGCATTTTATGTAATTGACCATGCAAAGAAGAAAGTTGAGAATGAATGCCCTGGTGTGGTCTCTTGTGCAGACATTTTAGCCCTTGCTGCTAGAGATGCTGTTGCCCTTGTAAGTGGACTTAATTAAACTATTTAATCAAAATTTTTACTGAATTTTTAAATATATATATTATTGGGAAATCCTACGGTCAAATTAAGGAACCATTCCGTCGGGGTTTGTAACTGTTAGATCAACTATATCTGACGGTTACATGATGATCAACGGTTACAAAACCCGACGTAATTGTTTCGTAACGAGACCGTAGCATCTCCCAATGTTATTAAGCATTGTTTAGTTTTGTATAAATTTTGTATTGTATTGTAGTCTGGAGGTCCAACTTGGGCAGTGCCTAAAGGTAGGAAAGATAGCAGAATTTCAAAGGCAAATGAGTCAACACAATTACCATTCCCCACATTCAATCTATCTCAATTGCAGCAGAGCTTCTCCAAGAGAGGCCTTTCCCTGGAAGATTTAGTGGCACTATCAGGTAATTAAGCATAATTATAACTAGTTAAACATGATCAAACTATGCTTACATTATAATTAAGCATAAACCATACTTGTGCAATTTTAAATGTCTGGCACTGTATACTGTGTATCAATATTACAGGGGGGCACACACTTGGTTTTTCCCATTGTTCATCATACCAAAACAGAATCCACAACTTCAATAACTTAACCGACGTGGACCCGTCTATGGATCCTTCGTTTGCGGCAGGGTTAAGGAGCGTTTGCCCCGTGCATAACAAGGTGAAAAATGCTGGGGCGAATCTTGACCCGTCCCCAACCGTATTTGACAACATGTACTACAAACGGCTTATCGATGGAAAGAGCATTTTGACGTCGGACCAAGCCCTGTTGACCAGTGCCACAACTAAGGCACTTGTCGAGAGATTCGCGAGCTCTCGAGAGAAATTTTTCGAGGCATTTGTCGAGTCGATGGTGAAGATGAGCAGCATTGGTGGTGGTGGGACTGAGATTAGATTGAATTGTAGAGTTGTTAATTGATTAGGAATATTGTGCTGTGAGAGTCACACTTTCTTATTCAAATTGTTTGTTTGTTTGTTTGTTTGAAGGGAGTACAAGAAAGTGAAGACCAAATTAAGGGATATTTGTGGGGTTTTAGTTTGTGATTGTGAGAGTCAATTTGATTAATGGTAATGTTGATTTGTTCTCAAATTTTATTTATACATGAATCATTACTATTCCATGCATAAACACTACCAATCCAAGGGGATTCAAATGAACAATATCGGATATGGTAAAAACACAATTTACCTTACAATAACTTGTATTTTAACACCAAACAAAACAAACTAGCACCTAAGCATCATCTCCTTAGTAACCATCTTTTACTGAGGCGATTCGAGAGTTATACTTTGTCAATCAAATCTCACTCTGTTACAGACAATATTAACTCAAGGGAGTACTTAAATAATAAATTGCAAGCAATTAAGTGCAATACCATAATTATGATCAAATATAATATTAATATGATCATGTTTATATACCATTGAAAAGATTATCTCTAGGCACATATACCAACAAAATCAACATACAAAAACTCGCATTTAATACCAAACAAAACAAACTAGCATCTAACCATCATCTCCTTAGTAACCATCCTTGTGGACCGATTTATGTCCAAATAACATAGATATATCTGCTTCTCCAACTCCTCCAGTTGCTCCATGAAGCACGTCTCGTGCGTCTCAAATTCCTTCACGACTTCCTTTAACATCATTTTTTCACCCAACTTCCGAACACAAATGTCGGCCACGAACTTCCCGTGCTCCGTCTCGTGATCCAATCTCTTCATGATCCGACTCATCGTGTCGAAATCATTCATGATCACAAATACCCCTTTTGCCCCCGCGTCGACCTTCGCCACAAGCTTTTTTGGTTCAACCCGTTTCTTCATGAAGTGGGCCAAAGCCCATATACCCAGCCCGGGTGGGGCCACCAAGCCCAATAAGCAAGGGTTAGAGACTAGCAATAGTGCAACGGCCAATGCACCAAATCCCATCATCACTGTAAAACCCACAATTGCCCTTTTCAAAATATTTTTCCTTCTCTTCTTAGTCTTCTTGCATTGTGATGATATCAAGTTGTGGAGCAATAGCATGTGGCCATTGTGCAATTCTTGGAACTTCGGGGGACCTGTCTGCGAGAACGGGTTTTTCTTCGATGCGAACGAGACGAGATTTTCGTACACGGCGCGTTGTTCGCCTTGAGTCCAATTCGAACAATGGGGCGATTGTTGAACGAATGATACCACGTCTTTTATTGAAATCCGGTCGAGTCGAGCTTGACGGATGCTCGCGAGAAGGGACCCGCAAATGCGGCTGGCTTCGTTGCTGATCTCAAAGTAATTAGCCAGAAACCGGTGGAGGTTCAATGCAACTAAGGATTCTTGGTGGGGTTCGAGCAGAAATTCACAGAGATTGAGGTACTCAACATTATTAATAGAAGAAGAAGAAGAAGAAGATGATGATGATGATGATGATGGTTGGTCTTCATCAAGAACACAGCTTGTTTCAAGCTGGCACTGTACTTTGTCGCGTATGTCTATGTATGACTTTGTCCTGAAGGCTTTTTTGTACTCTTCATTCACATTAACTGGTAATTTACTCTTCAAGCTTCTCTCCTTCTCTGCTTTCCCTTTTCTGCTGCCTGTGGAGAACAACAAAAATCAAAAGGGTTATTTACTACAAAACTGTGCATGACATGAAACAATTAAAAATAATTTGCTAAGGGAAATGCTAAGCTCCCGTTACGGAACCATTCCGTAGGAGTTTGTAACCGTTAGATCATCATGTAACCGTCGGCATGGTTCCGTAAAGGGAACGTAGCCATCTTCCTATTTGCTAATTGTGTATTATGCTCTAAATACTGAAAATGCACCTTCTCTTGAGAAAGGCAAACAGAGTTTGGCCCAACTGATTTTTCCTATCATTTCTTGATCATGGACAGAACAATCAAATCTTGTCTCCTCAATTATGAAAAAATAAACTAACTTCCTATTTATATATAATTTAAAGATTTAGGAAGAAATTAAACACCTCAAGCAAGAAATTGAGATATATATATATATATATATATGTGTGTGTGTGTGTGTATAATTTGTGCAAGAGAGAGTGTGGCTTTACTTAGACGTTAGCTTAATTAAAAATTTTGTTACGTTTGCGTGTGTAATTAAAACTGAGAGCGAGGTCGGCTCATCTGAATCTGAATGTGCAGTTCACAATGGGTGGGGCGGTTAATTAATAGGGGATATGATGACAATTTTTAGGCCATTCCATTGACTGACTAACAAACTTTTGCTAAGTTTTATCCCTATTAATCAGTAACAAATACTCTAGTAAGTAATTAATTACCACGCAATTTTTCAGGCACGTGTGCGGGGTTTTCGGGGTTTGATGTTTATCACATTTCACAAATTCTGTTTCTGGGGTTTGAAGTTTATCACAACTCACAAATTCTTATGTCAATAGCTCAATCTTGTATAATTAAAATGCATACATTGAATTATAATATATTAGTAAGTCGGCCTGTGCGATGCACGAGTTAGAGATGTTAAATGAGTCATTTCTATAAGACCTATCCGATAAGACATGTCTGATAAGGCTTCCAAATACAATAAATAAGACTAAGTTATTCATATTCTGTCAAACAACAGATTACAGTTATTACAATAATTGTAAAATGATCTTTACTAATGTATACTTATGATAAGAGTACAACATATTTCGACATAACATATTTGTCGATGATCATAAATTAATCTAAATCCGGTGTTACTCAATTCATGGTCCGGAAACTAGATTCTTATAGATGTCTTAGGCATGAAGAACATCCACGATCTCCAATATTCATTCTCAGCACACTACCTTGTCGGTACCTTCAACACTTGAAGTCAAGGGATCACACAAATAATTCCTTCCGTATTTAGGGCTGTATGACAACATTTATAAGTGTCTATGCATGGGTCAAGTGACTCTTGTTCTTATTCGTTATAAACGTGGAAATTTAATCAAGTATGTACTCGAACCACGATAGAAAGATCAAACTCTGATAAGTATTATATTGTACTCGACAACTTGCACTATCATTTACCCCTCTTCAGAAGTTAGTAATTTTAGGCAAGGTACTCGAGTTTGTCACCATCATATTGATATCCCTTAGATTTCTTGGCGTTCCATTTTGGTTTGCCATGAATAGCGTTTTTACGCTTCTTATATGAGCTCGGTTCGACCAAATTTGTCTTCGTCTCTATCTCGCTCCATTTGGTGAATACTTTGGATATTCTATTCATAAACGAACTATCAAAT